CAGGGCTTTCAGTGTACCTACCACCAGAACAGTGTACATTGTACCCAATAGGTAATTTTTGATCCTTCACCCCCTCCTATGCTCCCCACTTCTTAGTTTCCAATGGCCATTATACCACTTTGTATGACCATATATACCCATTGTTTTAAATTTTTTTCTTTAATTATATGGTCTCTTTTATATTGTTCTTTTTTTGTTTTAGTACTTTTATTGTTAATTTTTCTGTTTACTGCATCTTCTGGCAATCCCTCATAGTGTTTTTTCCCTAGTTAGTTTGTAAAGTTTTTTTGATATGAACTCATCTTTCAGAGTTTTTTCTTGCTCCAAAGTGGATTTCCAGTGAACCTTAGGTTGTAAAAGTAATCACTACCAAGTGGTTTCACATTTGATTCTTTTGGAAACCCAGGGTTATAGATCTTCAATGATCCTATATGAATTTTAATTTTAATTTCTTGATTTGGATTTCCTATATCATTCAGGTGGTATAAATTGACACATGCTTGGCATATGACTGATGTCTCCAATTCTTACAGGTTGCTTTTAATTTTCCACCCAAGTTCCACGCAGACTGTGCTTTCCAAGGCCAAAGGATAAAGGTGTTTTTTTTTTCATCCCCTCTTCAGTAAGGAGGCAGTTCCTTAAAGCCCAGAACCCTATTTAGAAGTTCAGTTCTAGGCCTTTCTTCCAGCACCGGGGGATCTCTTCTGCTGTGGGACCCTAAGGCCTGTGTCCAGTCCAAAAACCCTGTGTGCTACCTTTTTTTATCAGCTTTCTATAATAACTCTTCATTTCTGGTGCCTGGGGATTTCCCTTGGCTTCTTTCAAGCTTGGAAATGTTTTAATTCCTTTTTGGGTATTCTATTTCATACAGCATTTCTTGTATTTGTAATGATACATGGTATTATACCTTGCCAGACATAGCTAATACTTCCTAATCTCCTTTGTAGCAAAGAGAAAGCCTCAGAGTGAGACCTCAGGGAATCTAACTTGAATTTAATAGCATTATTTTATTTTTATTATATTTAATTTATGTGACCATTTATTTTAGGGGTGTGATTTAAATTTTCATATAAAGGCTGAGTATCTCTAATCCAAAATCTGAAATGCTCCAAAATCCAAGTTTTTGAGATCTAACATGATACTCAAAGGAAATGCTCATTGGAGCATTTCAGATTTTGGATTTGCAGATTAGGGATACTCAACCAGTAAGTATACAATGCAAATATTCCAAAATCCCAAAAAATCAGAAATTTGAAACACTTCTGGTCCAAGCATTTTAGATTGTCAGCCTGTACACTAGTGATACAAACCTTCCTTTCAAAACAACTTTAACAAAATAAGACAATTTAGAGAAAAATATTAAGTAAATTGACAAGTGATAGATGGTTATGACAATTATGATAAAGGTGATATGTTAATACGCAAGTTTACAGAATACATGAAAACATTCAATGTCCTTCTGAGCTTTTGTCCCCGTTTATTAAAATGTTCTTTTATGGTTTAGCAACCCAAATAAGAAGATGTGTACTGTCAACATGAGTCTGGGCTGAGAATGTGGAAAATGGGTTCCCTAAATTAGAAAATAAAATTTTGAGCATAGTGTGATCCCCTTCAAAACAAACAGTAAGGTTCAGCTGCACAGTGAGAACAGGCTAGATTATGATACGGCAACAAATAACCACAATATTTCAGGACAAAACGCAACAAGAGATCGTTTCTTGTTCACATATCCAGCAAGCTTTAGTTGGAGTCTCTGCTCATCAGAGGCATGTGGAATGCAGGATGGCAGAGCCCCCCATAGCCTCCAAGGCAGGAAGAGGAGGTGGTCCCCCATGCACTTGCTCTTAAATCTGAGAATAAGTGACATGTGCCACTTCCACTCTTTCTTGGTTACCCAAAGTAAGTCACGTGGTCACCCTAACTTCACAGGGGGCAGCACCCAAAAAGCCGGGAGCCAGAAATATTTGATGAATATCAATAATGTTATGATGCCATCCAGCAAAGAAACCATAAAACAGTCCTGATACATCCTCTAGATGGAGACAGGTAGCCAGTTCAGCCACAGTAGAGTCAGCCCTCTCCTCTGCGTTAGTTCCATGCGGTATACAGAAAACCCCAAATTAAGCAATTGCTGTAGATGGATAAGGTAAAATACCTGCCTTTATGCTGGATTGACTTGTTACCTAACAGGTCCTGAGAGGTTTCCATTGCGGATCATAAAACTGGCATCCTGCTTAATCTCTGGCTACTCCATTTGGCCACTTCATTTCTACAAATATTTATGGGCCTGATACATGAATGTGGTTGATGTATTTACAAAGAGCGTGACTCATATTTCTCCCAGATTTGCTTCTAGGCTATTCTGGCTCTGCTTTCCCTCTGTCCCAGGGGTTTCCTAACATGTCCCCACAGCCTTCTGTAATACACATGGGTTTGTGAGAGTCTCTTTCCTCCGATCACCCTCAGATCACAGCCTTCAGCGTTTCCCATCCTCCAGTGCGTGCCAACAGTGGCTTTCCAGAACCTTCTTCACAGGGTCTCTGCTTTGTGTTGAAAGGGATTGAGAGGCAAAGGCTCTATTCTCTAACACCAATGAGTTGAAGAGCATTTCTAGCCTCTGTGGACATTTGTGCAGTAATGAAATTATCCTTTATCTGGGCTAATATCCAAATTATAGTAACCTTAATTATGTTTTGTCCCACCATGACACATATTTCAATTAAACCACTGCTCCTGGTATTATGTTTTAAGTGGGGGGTATGTATGAATAATGCCTTATGCTCAGACAATGCTTTATGATTTACGGAGTGCTTTCATTTGTATTGTATTTATTCATCACTCTGATGTTGGGTATTTATTATCTCCATTTAAAATCACAAAAATGGTCAACTAATCTCAGAGTTGATCAGCTTGTCAGTACTAGCCATGGAACTGTCACTCAGAACTATAACCTCATATACAGGACTCCTTCTGTTACTCCATGATATTGCCCATAACTCACAAACATTTTTAAAAGCCTATCAAATTTAAGCTGTTACTATCTTTCTATTCATACCATTCATATCTATACCATTCATATTTATTTTGAGGCTAAAGCCCGCACCCCATGTGTTCTGTTAGGCTGGTAGAAATCTGATCTTTATTGTTTTTGTCAAGGTTGACTCTGAGGCAGAGAACTAGAGATACAATGTACACATGCACTTAGGGTGTTTCTGGCTCAAAAATTCAATCTAACACAGTAAGTGACAGAATGAAAATTTGAGTTCAGCTGCTCTTAATAGCAGCATTTTGGTACTTGATGGATACTTAGGTTTGATGTCAAGGAGAACACACAAGATGACTTCAGATGGCAAGGGCTCATTGTAAGGAAATCTGAAAAACTGCAGCAGCATGGAAAACCCAGATATCCATCCCTCTAGGTCCCAGAACTTTCAAAACTGGGGCCTAGCACAGATCTTCTCTTTGCTCTTTTCTCTCACCTCTGTTGCTGAACAACTTGGTTTGCTCCCACCTAGCATAGCGTGTCCCTGTTTGGCACAGGTTATCTTGTTCCCAATGATACATTACTGCCTTACTTACATGCCAACCTCCTGCTGTTTAGACGCCAGGGTGCAGGTATAGTTTTAGAGAACACACAGGGTTGAAGCCACAGAATGGATATGAAAAAGAAACTCCCGGACGCTAAGCTTTAGAAGGGGTCTGTGGGGTTGGCTGGTAAGGACACAGGTACTCCCCTCCAGGAGAGCCGCTGGAGGTGGTGGTCATTGTTTCAACTCCATCATCCCATCCCCACCATGAGAATGAAGCTGGTCTGTTTTGTTCCTCTCTAGCCTCAGCACTACTAGACACTCAATACGTGTTTGTTCATGGAATTTTTTCTCATTATAGTGCTTTATTGACAGGAGGGGATTTGACTTGGATCCTGGAGAAGTTGATCAAATTCCAAATGTTTGGTAGACCCAGACTGACGTGGAGAAAGTCTTAATAAGAGAGGGAGAGAGGAACTAAATTTAGAACTTTAACATAAAGGTTTATCATGTTTCAATTTACATTAGTTCCCACATCATGAGATTCACCCTAGATGAATGAAATTACCCTGAAGCCACCAAGAAGAAAAATATCTTACCATGGTAAATGGGGATTTGCTGAACAAGGGCCAGGGGATGGACATAAGTCAAGAGAATTCATTGTGAACAGTTGGTCAGCTTCCTAGAATAGCATATAATTTTTTCACAATTTTCCTTGGCATTTTCCTATTTTCCTATATGCGTTTTACCAATTGGGCAAATATAAATGGTCCTGGGTTTGGCACTGATTAGAGACAAGATTTGGTAAGTCATGACTAGAAGCATCTTCACCAACATATATTCACAATGAATCTTTAAATATTCAAAGCAAAAGGAAGAAAAATAGCGTTAGCCCATGCCTGCTCAGGAATTATAGGCATTTTACTTTGGTAGTTTAATCTTTCAACAACTTGATGAGGTAGGCGGTATGTCCCTAATTAACAAATAAAAAAGTGAGACCAGCGGAGTATGTTGTCCTCTGCCCATGGCAATGTAAGTAATATGCTCAAATTTACGTAGGGAAAGAAATATATACAAACTCAGGACTGTCTTTGCTCCAAAGCACACACATTGCCTTCTTATTGAAAAAAATATATTAAATGTCCCCTGAAGTATATTTCATTGGTTGGTTTGTATTTCCTATTTCTGCATTTTCTACTTGGCATGTGTTCACTCGTGTGAGCCTGCAGGAGAAGTGACTTGACGTAAACACATGGGATTGGTGTGCATGGTTCTCCTTCGTGGCACTGCAGAAAGTTTTTGTTCTAATTTGGGGCCACTTACAGTGGATTCGGTACACATACGTAGTTTATTTCAAGTGAGTTGAAATGGTTATCCTGGAATCTGTGGGTTTCCTTTTCAAAGAAAATGAAGTCCCACACAATTTTTTACACTCTTTGCTCTGCTTTTTTTCCAGACTACTGTCAGAGGATGTAGGAATGGACATCCCCTTTGAGGAGGGAATGCTGAGTCCCGGTGATGCAGACATGAGGCCTGGTGAGAGGAGCATTTTTTCATTTCCTTCAGCGATATGCTATATCTAAGCACGTTCATTATGCAGTGACAGAATCATTTCCTATGCGTCCCACTTGTGATTGCAGCGATAAAAGTGAAGAGAAAAAAAATGTGTGAGAGGAAGGTGTTAGGCTCCATTTGGTTAATTTCAGAGTTGGCTTGAATACTGATGCTCACTAGTGTGGGCTACGTTTTATCTCCTGGACCCAGCCTTGTCTGCCAGTGTTTTCAGTTCCTATGATAATTGGCTACTATATATCATGATACCAAATTCTGACTAACGTCTAACTTCACAAATTTACATATAATTGTGAGAATGTTTAAAATTGGAAACGTGATATCAGGAATGCTCAGCACCTTAACTATAAAGAACAAACAGCAAACAAACAAACCAGCAAACCCACCCTACATTGTAAGGGTTTACAACCCAAGGCATACCCAAAAAAGAATGTTTAAATTTTAGTTGCAAACTGCATGACTCTCACTTTGTTCTAGGGTCACTCCCTGGGCTATGCCAACCCCAGGATCATACCAGGATCCTGAATCATGGCCTTATCAGCCAAGCCTAGAACGGGGTAGGAAGAATGAAGGCAGTTACATTTGTTTTCTGTCTTAGTATTTAAAATGCATTCTTCAAAATACTAGTCATGTGACATAATTAATTTTAAATGTTCTCTGGCCAAAGAAGCTTGGTAACAACTGTGTGTCTATCCCAACCTTCAAAGTTCACAGTGCACTTTTGAATAATAAAGGCACTAAGGCTGTGGTTATCCTATATGGTAAGTGGCTAGCCACATGTGGCTGTTTAAATTAATTAAAATTTAAAATAAATTTTAAGAATTCTGTTCTTCAGTTGCACTAGCCTCATGTCAAGTGCTCAATAGTGGTACGTAGAACATTTTCATCTTCACAAAAAATTATTTTGGACATACTGCCCTGAGAATTCCTGTAATACAGAAACCCAGTATCTTGCAAACTTATGGTCAATAGGAAGGTTTTTTTCAAGTAATCCATAAAAACATTATGTGGAACCCAGTATGGGTGATGTTCCACACAGAAAAGAAAACTCTAGTCTATGGCCATACCCTCCGGAATGTGTCCGATCTCGTCTGATCTTGAAGCTAAGCAGGGTCAGGCCTGGTTAGTACTTGGATGGGAGAAAAGAAAAACCTTAGTGACAAAAGACAATGCTAATTACCTTAGGACAAGGCCGCAGTTAGAATTCCAGAGTTGAGGGATATACCAGATGACCTTCAAAATACTTTGTGCTGGGGAATCCTGTCATTTCTGTTCTTGAGTGAAGACAACAAACTGTTTTCTCACACAGAACACTTCTGTGACCAGATGTGTAGGGGTTTTCGCCCACACACCCGTTCTCTAGTGGACACCAACCAAGTGTCCTATAATTCAATTCCATTTTGACACTATCTATCTCAGGAAATTCCAAGGGTTTTAGGAGCTCTGTGCCTGGAACCAGGGCTAAACACCAAATATATTTCTTACTATACTATATTAGGTTATCTCTCTACTTTTGTTTAGTTGGGATAAACTTGGTTAAAAATGACTTCTCCGGCTCTGCTATTAAATGAAAGAAAGGCACTTGAGCAGCAAGACACATCCTACAATGAAAGGGTGGGGGCCTTACCTTAAGAGGATTATCGCTGTGTTATCGGAACAAATGTCAAGCAATATTGGCATAAGAGGTAGTAACTGCTTGGGTGGGTTCAAAGAGCGTAACCTGGGTGGATACTTCAGATTTTATTCAAAAAATAAAAATGAAAAACTAGCAGGCCAGGCCAGCCAAGGGAAGTTCACTGAAGATCATATACAGAGTTGTCAGGACTTGAAGAGAAGTATTTTAGGAGTGTCTGTGAACACGACAAATTTGTTAACCTTCATTCCATAAGAGCAAGGTCAACATGAACTATTAGAAAATACAGTCAGCCCTTCATATATGTGGTTTCTGCATCCATGGATTCAAGCAACTGCAGGTTGAAAATATTAAAAAAAAAAATGTATCTGTACTGAACATGTACAGACCTGTTTTCCTTGTTATTATTCCCTAAACAATACGGTACAATATTTTACATAGCATTTACATTGTATTAGGTATTATAAGTCATCTAGACATGATTTCAAGTGTACAGGAGAATGTGCATAGGTTATATGCAAATACTATGCCATTTTACATCAGCGACTTGAATATACTTGAATTTTGGCACTCACCATGGGAAGTCCTGGAGCCAATCCCCCACTGATGCTGAGGGACTACTGTGTATGTAAGCTTAACTGCTATTCTTATGTAATGTACCCTTTAAAAATTTAATTCAGTATTTTAACAATGTCAAGTTCTCCAACCTGAACAAGGAAGTTGTGAGAACTAATTTTCTACCCATTTAAGCAATAGTTGCCACTTCCTGTTTCTACATGGCCAGGGCTGATGGGGCTCGGGGGAGGCAGTACTGAGGCCTGTTGTCAAGAAAGGGGTCTGGATCCCATATGAGGATTTTTGGCAAGTCTGATTTTGCTGAAAGGGCCTTAAAAATGGTTTTCACTGAGACCCAAACCACTCTTGGTGGCAATATATATATATATACAGGTTGAGTATCCCTTATCTGAAATGCTTGGAACCAGAAATATTTTGGATTTCAAATTTTTTCAGATTTTGGAATATTCATACTATATTTACCGATTGAGTATCCCAAATTTGAAAATCTGAACTCTGAAATGCCCCAGTGAGGATTTTCTTTCAGCGTCATGTCATTGCTCAAAAACTTTCAGATTTTGGAGCATTTTGGATTTGGGATTTTCAGATTGAGGTTGCTCAACCTTTGATCTAATACTTGATGTTGCTGTTCTTTTTCTTGTTTAGAACCTCCTAACTCTCTGGATCTTAATGGCACTCATCCTCGGAGAATCAAGCTCACAGCCCCAAATATCAATCTTTCTTTGGACCAAAGTGAAGGATCTATTCTCTCTGATGATAACCTGGACAGTCCGGATGAAATTGATATCAATGTGGATGAACTCGACACCCCTGATGAAGCCGATTCTTTTGAGTACACTGGCCATGGTAAGCCACTAATTTGGCAAGGCCAAAGTTAAATGAAACATGAATGATGATCTAAGTGGCATTAGGAACAAACCTCCCATTTTCATGCCAGCATATCCTTTCTGTGATTTCTAGAAGCTTCTGTTTGTATCTCAGGTCACAGGTGGCCACCAATGCCGGTTTAGAGCTTGATGGAGCAAGTATAACACACAGAGGTCATATATAACCATTGCTGTTTTTGTAAACCCCTACTCTATGCCAGGCCTGTGCTAGGAAGTAGGGGTGAGAGAAGGCTGTTACACACTGTGTTGTAAAAAAACTGGGGCTGGGTTTGCAGAGAAAGAGAATTTAATCTGAAAGATAAAATTTGAAGAAGAGAAATCAGGGCTTACCAGTTTCTTGTACAAGACCCCACTGTCTGGAATGTTCTTTCCCTCAGATCTTTACATGACTAGCACCTTAATCAGATGTCACCTCCTCAGAGAGGCCTTCCTTGATCTCTGTAATCAAAGGTGCTGCCCACCTCCCTACTCCATCATCTGGTCTCTTTTGATCCCAAGAGACATTTTATTTTCCATGTATCATTAATGAACTTGTATTATTTAGCTGTTTGCTTGTTCATTTGCATGTTTATTATCTTTCTCTTCCCACTAGAATGTCTGCTCCATAAGGACTTCGTGGGACTTTATTGTGTTTGATGCTATATCTCCAATAAAGTAGGGAGGAAGAAGGGCCGGGATAGGTGGGGTATGGGAAGGATAAAAAGGAAGAAATTTACAGGTTTCTGGATCCAAGACAGACACTCCTGATGTGAACATCAGTCTTACTTTAGTTCTTTCTCTTGCTCAATAGAATTTGGTTTGTTAGGCACAAATACTGTACATTTGCTTTGAAAAATGGCATCATGTAGTTTCTGTCTCAATACTAGCCAAGGTGGCGTTCTCTGAAGTTACATTTGACAGTGCTTTCGTTCATTATAAACATTCATCTAGTCTTAAAAAGCAATACAGTTGTACAATTAAATGATGCCCTGACTTCTAGAGACATGCTAATTCCAGCAGTTCCACTCGTAGAACATAATTAGAAAACTAAGAAATTCATCAAACTAGCTAATTAATTTAACCAGTGGTCATTGAGCCAGGGGGCTACAACTGTGACTAGTTCAGATTCAGACTCTGCCTTCACGGAGCTTACGGCTTTATTTCCTCAAATTAAAAAAAAAAAAAAAAAGGAATGGCTAAACTACTTGTTCTATAATCTATTATGTTTGAGCAGAGACTTGATATTGCATTTTAATCTTGTTCATGAATTTCTATCATCATCTGGGTATTTGATCCTGTAGATTGAAATACACAAATAGGAAGTGAAAGAAGGTCTGGAATTTATGCTCTTTCCTGCCATCCCAAAGAGCCATCAGCAGCTCCTCCCATGCCAGCTGCCCCCAGCAGCTCCTGCTCTTTTCCTGCTAATATATTGGCAAAAGCCCACAGAAGACAGCTGTGGCGTGACCCTGCTGGTCTCTCCCTCTCCTCCCCCCTCACTTCTCTGTTGCCGGGAGAGCTTTGTCACACCACATCTGAACCTTTTATTTTTATAAATAGTAAAACCATCAAGCAAAGTGATGGTGGCTAAGCAAACTGGTAATTCAAGCTGCCACTTGCTGACATAGTTCTTTTTATTTAGTTGACATAGTTATGTTGAAAGAACCAGTTTAATGGCCACAATCCTACTTTTAGGTCTTAAAGGGCAGAATTTTAAAGTAAGTTGAATTTTAAAATCCACTTTGATTTTCAAATGAAAGTTATATGTTTAGACACAGTTTTAAACAAACAAAAATGTGAAACGTTGAGAACACAAAGTACATCTAAATAGCTAATATTTTGTAAACATGTAGACATAGATAACTGACTGAAAAGAGGATTGGATTATAAATATTTAGGTTATTAAACATGAAATGTCCAATTTCCTTAAATACTTAAATTTGACAGTCAATATCTTGGACATTTCACTTTGACACTTCTTGTTTTATGTTTACTGCGGAGGTACATCCTCAGCCTTCAAACACATGGTTTGGCTTGTGATTATCTTTCAAATTTTTTTTAGAGCAATTTTTGTGAAACCATGCATAAGTCAAAAATTTGTGTTGTTTTTGAATATGAGTTCCATTGTAGAACCAATGCAGCCCAGATAGCTTGAAATATCAACAAAGTGTTTGGGAAGGATGTGGTAATGAATGCACAGTATGACCATGGTTTGAGAAGTTCCGTTCTGGCGATTTCAATCTTGAAAATGAGCCACATGGGTGACCTGAGAAGACCAAGAGTGCTAATGATGAGCTGAAAGCTGTAGTGGAAGCGAATCCATCTCAACCTATGCGTGAATTAGCAGTAAGGTTTGACGTTACTATTTCAACAATATTGGACAATTTGAAACAAGTGGGCAAGGTAAAGAAGCTCGAAAGATGGGTTCCACATGAATTAAATGAGTGTCAGAAGAGAAATCGTCTTGAAGCTTGCTTTTCTTTGCTGTCATGACATAAGACAAACCATTTCTACACCATATTGTTGCATGTGATGAAAAACGGATTCTTTTTGACAATTGCAAGCATTCAGCACAATGGATGGATAAAGATGAAGTGCTGAAACACAGTCCAAAATATTCATGAAAAAAAGCTAATGGTGTCTGTTTGGTGGTCCAGCTCTGGTATTATCCGTTACAGCTTCATGAAACCTGGTCAATCGATTACAGCAGATGTCTGCTGCAACCAACTGGATGAAATGATGAGGATGCTTGTGATTAAGCAGCCAAGATTGGTCAACAGAGAGAGGCCAATCCTCTTACAAGGTAACGCTCTACCACATGTCACACAAACAACGCTGCTCAAACTACAGAAGCTGGACTTGGAAACTCTCTGCCATCCACCATATTCACCAGACCTTGCCCCAACTGACTACCACTTCTTTCAGGCGTTGGATCACTTCTTGCAAGGAAAAATATTCAATTCTCAACAAGCTGTGGAAAATGCTTTTCACAATATCATCACCACTCGCTCTCCAGGCTTCTTCGCTGCTGGCATAAACAAGCTACCATTATGATGGCAAAACTGTGTCAAGAGTTTAGGCGCATACCTTGATTAATTGTACTGCTTCTTGTTTGAGGTATAATAAAGCACAGTTTTGATTCAAAATTGGAAATTTCATATTTAATGATCTAATACATTGTAGTCTAGAAATATGAAATAAGTGCTTGAAAACTGCATGTTTTGGGGGTTTCTCATGAGAAACCAGGCATATACATTCTAAGCAAAATTGGAGTTTTTAAGGCATAGTTTTTCAAAAACATTTGATCAGTAATTTATTTTTTAATGAACACATAATGTTTACTATGTGCCAGGATCTAGTCTAGGTACTTTGTAAATATCAACTATCTTAATCCTCCTGTCAACTCTATAAAATAGCTATTGTGTTTCCCCCCATTTTATAGATGAGAGGTTAAATAATTTGCATAAGGTCACATAGCTAGTAAATGGCAGAGCCAGCATTCAAACCCGGAGCTGTCATCGTGGACCTGTCATCCATGCTGCTTCCCAGTGAATACACTAACAATGAATAGAGAGGGTCTTTTACTAGATTAGGCTTACATACCTGCAATCAGGCATGACAGCCCACCCTCACAGTTATACTTCCTTTTATCTGGCCATTTTCATGATTTGAGGACTCTTGCTTTACCAGGTACCTGAAGTTCTTTCACATCATGTGCCTGTTTTATTCGGTGGCTGATAATCAAACACCTCTGCCAAGGTTTTTGCCCACAATGCAATTTTGCTTACAGAAAATTTGTGAATCTCACCCTCAAAAGACGTTTACTTGGTCTTCACTTCTAAGCAATTTTTTAAAATAATCGTGTCCAAACAGTTGGGAAATATAATTTAAGATATTAATGTAATTAAGGTTTGATTTCCTTTGATATTTACAAAATGTCAGTGATATCAGAAATAGATGGATAGTGAAGGACACAGGAGGTCAATCTTTCATATTAAGGGAGATCTGAGTTTTTTCTTCTTTAATGTTTTCGTTTTACTAATCCTAGAAACTTAAAAATATCCAATGGTGAGAAAAAATGATGACCTATTTCTGTTTTCCAAACCAACAACAAAGTTATTTTTACCATCATTCTGATCGTAACAAAGGTATTTCATAAGGGAAGTGGAAAAATGATAAAGAATTTTTGCCTGTATATTTCTGATAAGAATGTTATAAGAAACACTCATGTGCTCTTACATTTTTCTTTCTTATGCACCCGAGTGATGTTCAGTGACCCCTTCTAAGCTATCTTTTCTAAAACTAACCCCTATGACAGAGTTCTGTGTTGATAAGGCACCCCAACATTATTTCCAGAAAATCAGGGTGCCACTTCCTTTAACTTCCCTATTTACAGTCTTCTGTTAGTTTCACAGCTTACAGACAACCAGCTTATATAAAATCAATTTAATGTTTTAACTCTGAATATAAACTAATCAAGTGTTCAACTTATTTTGTTTTACCCAAAGCAGACTTATGCCATAATGGTGTTGTCTGAAACGGTGATTTTTCTTTATATTTTTGTATGCTGAGATTTTACACTCATTAACTGCCTGCCTGCCTGCTGTTTGTCATCAAAAGAATTTTAAAGACTCTAACTGTATACACGATGTCTTTCTTATAATGATAGCAACAAAAAAATTCAAACATTGTATCTTCTAAAAGTATTCACATTATTAGTGCAAGACGGTGATACAGAAAGCTAGCTACCTTTCACACGTGTATGTCCCCGCTGGAAAGCCACAGCTGACATCATCTTTAATTAGTCCATAATGAACACCAACAATCCCCATTGTGGTCTGTGTAGCAGAGAACATTCAAGAGCTTTGTATGTGAGATCATCTCAAAAAGATAAAAGGAAATGTTCCAGTTGCCTTCTCCCCTGGGTACAGAGTTTTAATTGACTTCAGTAGCTGTCAGGGAGAAAAGTTCGTGTTGATG